GCCTGCTTTGTCGTAAGGATATAATACAGGAGCTACAAAGCTGCAGTAATGGCAGTGCTGCACTATTTCTGCAGTCTGTGTGTGACACCAACAGATCTTCCATTGAAATTTCCTGACTGTTTTGGTGCTGTCTAAAGCAGAAAGGTTAAGCTTTGCTTTTGGGTGTCTAGCGGATCTTGAACTGAGGAATATTATTCTTGCCTTTCTACAAAGAACAAACAAAAATAAGGGAGAATGTTCACTGCAGAACATTGATTCTTTTTGGAGGATGCAGCTTTGCTGACCATAACCACGCTTTGCAAAAAAAAAAAAAAAGGCGACCTGCAAGGTAAGAAAGTTGGGCAGGGCCCAGTGTTGCTTTTCAGATGTGTATGCTGATGTATTTCCCTTTCGGGATAGCAAGATGTCTGCTTCACAGAAATTGTTCTACATAAAAAAGAGTAAAACTGACTAGAATTTATTTTTGTTTACCCCTTCCCAAAGAATGTAGTAGAAGACTTTAACTGTGGAGCTATTCCAGACATCTGATAAAAAGCATACTTTGAGAGCTGAAAACTTGTATTTTGGATGCATGGTTTAACTGAGACTGGAACAGGTCTCTTCACGTGAACATACGTGTGCTCACATGCTCACTGCCTGGGAGGGTGGGTGTTCATTAGGTAGTCTGGCTTCCAGATTTGTAGAAATAATGCTTACTGTGTACACTCAAAGCAAATACTGTACTATGCAGTTGCCACTTTTAAATGTTTTGCACACGCCGGCGAGGTTTTTCGGGGCTTTTTTCTTTTTTAGTACTCCAAATCAATTATACCACAGTGTGGACTCATTAGTTGCCAAAGGTTATTTTTAAATGCATCTTTGACATTGTTGTATGCCACATCTTCTAAAAAAAAGTGTCTTAAATGTCTTTGAATAGTTTTATGTTCATGGAACAAAAGTTTGGACTTTTTTACTTAAAACACTTGCTTCTCTGTTGAGACCATGCGTTGCAGAAGGTTTTCATCTCAAAGTAGGGATTTTGGCAGGGGGCGTAACAGGATAATTATGAACCTTCGAAAAACAAGGGTTTTTTAATGGAGACACTGAAGGAACTGTAAGCAGTGTGGTAAGGAGAGGGGAGGAGAGGTTGGATGGTGTTGTGTTCAGAGCCCATTGCAGTCCTTGAACAGTACATGCAGCAGTGCTGTACTAATAACTGGAAGCTGTTGTTTTTAATTTTTGTTTGTTTTTTTCTTCTTTGATCACAGGAAGGCTTTGAGGATGGCCTCTGCATGGTTCCTAGTGTGTGCTGTGTGCTGGGGGGGTTACAATACCTGGGTTTGCTCTAGGCTCCTTGAGATGTGTTGTGTTTTTTTTGGCTAGCATGTCTTAAATCTTCAGGCTTTGAAACTGCTTTATAGAATTGTGTTGACTTTTTTGTTCTGCTGTTGTTCAGTTGCACAGAGTTTTATATATATGATGTACTAGTTTTAATGTTAATTCTCTGTGAACAGGGTTGAGATTATTCACTGTAGTTAAAAAAAAAAAGTTGTATTCTAAAATTCCCTTTAAAAATCTTGTTTGTACTCTGTTGCAGTGTTACCAGATGGCCTTATGTACGTCACAGTGTTTTGTGATAAGTACAGTAGCACACTTAATGCTTATCTCCCCCCTCTCTGTTTTTATAAGCTGAGAAGTATATTCTTAATAATGGAGATGAATAAATGGGAAAATTCTAGCATCATGTATGGGAAGGATAGTGGTTGTCTCCTCTAATGTATATTAGGACAGCTGGAATTAATCTGGGCCTGAAATGACTCTGAATAGGGATCATTAACCAGCATGAGACTTTGTCTTGGGAATTCTGAGAATCTTCAAGGGAGCTGATGGCAGATTGGAATCGTATGCCAGAAGCTTGTAAATCAAGACTAGGGCTGTTGGCTTTGCTGCAGCCTGTCTGACTTTACTTACACCAACTGAGAATCTGGTCCTTGTGGCTTTTTGTCTGTGGCTCAGAGTCAGGGGAGGGCAGTTTAAGTTAAATTTTAAAGGACTTAAGCAACCTAATCAGCTGTGGTAAGGTGTGACAGTTGTTCTGTTTATTTTTAAAGTGCTAATCTGTTTTGGAAAGTGACTTTCCGATGCCTTTAGTGTTTTACTCCTTGACTGAATTTTAAGGTTAACCTGAGTTCTTTGCAAATTGGCAAGATGATGCCTGTAGGGTGGTTTTCATACTACAGCAGCTCTGATATCTCTGCTCGGGGCAGACTGAGCAGACATCTGTGTCAGTTAACTCTAACTTGGGAATGGATTCTGTTTTACTCCCCTGTAATTTTAGTAGAACCATTGGTGGTAAAAATTACATGGAAAACAGCGGAGATAACAATTTCAGTTACTTTTCCAGAACAGAATTGCATTTTATGTATGAGCGAGTACCAAGCCAAGAGACAAAGCAAGTTACGTTGTAGTGAGTGTCTTAACTTTCTACACTGGAGACTCTTTTTCTAGATGCAGTCTTTTAGAGAGAACTGTAATTTTACACCGCTTTGGTGCTTTCATTACAGTTGTGTAAATTTGCCTGGGAGAGAATAGCTTCTCAGTCTAACTTTTTTTTTTGAGATTAATACCTTATAATAAGAGTATCTTAATGCCATTGTGTTTTAAAAAATGCTGGTATGTAATGCAAGTACATAAATAGCCAAAGTTTTCAGTAATTGTTCAGTGTTACTAAATTTGCTTTTATTTAACCTTTCAAGATAACATATTAGGAAGACCTTCAGCATGTTGTTATTGGGGGGAAAAAAGTCTGATCAACGATTATAGCAGATATGCAGTCATTTGAACACATTTCAGGTTTGAATACAATTGGGAGACAAAGTTCTAAGATGCAAAACTTACTTTGGAGGAAGTGCACTGTAATGACACTTCAAAGTTTCAAATGCTGCTTTTAAACAGCAGTATATTTGCAGTTGTTTATTCAAACATAATGAAGGTCTTTCCTGAGAAATCAGGTGACTTTTCTATTGCTTCATTTTTTTGTGCAAAAAAATTTAAAAAAAAAATCAATGTATTGCAATCTTTTTTAAAAATGGGGTGGGAATAGTTAAAGAAAACTATTTTATGTAAGAACTGACAGAGGGATTTGCTTTGTATAATGCAAGCTGGCTTTAAAAAAGCATTGTAGCAAATTATTCAAGTCAATCATAATGTTGATAGTTATGTGCAACCAGACATGCAAAACAATTGTATTTTTTTAAATAAATATTTTTAACAAAGTTTCTGTTCTTTTGACCTTTTTTTTTTCCTTCAGCAGAGGAAACTGAAAGTCACAGCTTGCTCTGGGATAATGAGGGAGTTCATCAGACCTTGAGCTAACCTATCCCTTCACAGCAGCACTGGCTCCCTCCTGTCTTGCTTGAATGGAGACAGAGATGGGGTTGCTGTTGCTGGCTTTGTGGTGCTGCACAGTCTTTTTGCCAAATCAGGTACTATTCTGGTAAAAATTTCCTTTGAGTAGCTTCATAGTGCTGATAACAAAGTAGAGATTTGAATTGACAGGTACACTTTTAACAAAGGAAATGTTACTCTGGCAATAGCATTTGGCTACCTATTACCAATCTGCAAGGACACAAGAAGATAGTTTTTTTTGGGGTTTTTTAATAGCTGACAGTTCCTGGTGAGAGATACATGTAATCTGAGTAGATTTCTTTCAAAATAAACTCGCTCATTGTATTGTTTCATGCTCATTTCCTCTGTACAGACATGAAGAAAATGCTGTCATGGTGGGAGGGGCTCTATTAATAACAGATTGGGTTTCTCACTGTGAAGGGCTTTTGTAGTATACCCCTTTTCATTGGGGGTATCTCGAGGAGAGTAACAGTGGCATCCTGTGGTGCTAGAGAAGAATTGCAGCACATACTGCACTGGATGGGGTGAGGCAGGAGGGCTGCTGAAGTCCACAGATGATGAGTTGAACCCAACATTCAACTACAGTTACCTCTTTCCTACACTGGCCAGCTGTGTTCTCAGCTTTATAGCTCTGAAGTCAGTTAAACAAGTCGACTCTTCTTTGAGGAGTTTTCTACAGAACCATGTGTAGGAACATGTGAAGATATTTTACAGAAGGTAAGATCTCCTGCTTAGAAAAATAGAAATGTTAAAAACAACTGTCAGATTTAGTCTAACTTTGAAAGCCAGAGCTGAGAGTCTTGGCCAGAAACAGCTTATGTTACCTGAGTCCAGTCATGCTGAGAATCTAGCAACCAATCATCTTTAATTAAACACTGCTTTATATACACCCATACATATGTACATCCACATACAGCAGTTAAAGCAAAAAAGTACATATCCAATCACTCACTGAAGAGATAATAGATGTATGTAGCTTTATACTCATCTAAAGCCAGTCCTTTCTTCATAGCATGGAATAGGTCATGCGTGGGCTATAGAGTACCTTACAGAAGGCACCTGGTAGAGTAAGTATTGCACAGATTAAGCAGCTGGAGGCTGGCTCCCACATACCTCTCTCTAAGCTTCAACTGGAAGCTAGAAATAAAACCACCCTAAAAGACACTGCAACTGTAGCAGCTAAACTAGTGACTTAAAGCAAAACAAACCATCACAACTCATTCTTGACTCAAAAAAAAAAAAAAAAGGCAAATTATTTTAATAATTGAGGCCCTAGCATGCTTAGTGTCTTAGTGAAGATGTGTGATAGTGTGTAGTATACAAGAATCAACTGTGCAAATATTGATAGGTCCTGCTCCCACCACACACTTGGTGGGTTCTACCATTGTGTAATTTTTCCCCTTTGGAAGTATACATGGAGGTGACATACTGTGCAAAAACCAAATTCAACTCCCATATTGTGCTGTAAGTTGTAGGGGCTTCTATATGCTACAGGCCAAAAGAAAGATCTGTTCCATTCAATGACCAAGCCAGGAGAAGTTCAGTCTCGCATACAGAACAGAGATCCATCCTGAATTGGGAAGAAAGTTCGTTTGCCAGAGTAACTGTTCTCCCACTGTCCCTGCCATAGGCTGTAGCCTTTCAGACACCGGGACAGTCTGACGCTTGCAGTCATCATTTTGGTACATGTGACACTGGCACCTTGTGCTTAGCTTGATGCAGTGGTGTAGGATGTTTTCTTGATTCTGACTTACCCAATCTAATGTGCTTTTGATTGCAGAAAACTTGCATGATTCAGTCACTAAGTAAGTAAGTGTGAAATCATCCTTAATAGTAATGCTTAATTGTGTTGCTTTATTGCTTGTCTAGGGCTTGGCTGCTGCTTTAGCGCTGATACTGTCCAGTGTCATCCATTACTGCTGGTTTGTCAGGTGAGGCACCATCCATATCTGCAAAATGGACATTAATACTTCATCTGAAGGCGCTGATGGTGTTGAGCGTTAAGGGGATGTGCATGAGCTCTCCCAAACGTGGCTGTTGCTATTCTATCAATCACCCACTAGTAACCTGGGCAAATGTTTTGCCTGTCATACAGCGCTCCTTTTGTAAAAGGTGCTTATAAAAACAAATAGCATCTGCAGACTGAGGTGATAGGTGAGACCATTTCCTTATCAGTGAGGCTGTTCATTCTCCAGTGCCTGACAGCTGCCTTTGGAGGGCAGAAACTTGTTCCCTGGATTTTAGCCAGGGAACAGCATAGGGAAGCTTGTGCAGTCTGTACTAGGAGGACTTACTCCTGCTAGCTCTGCAGCAGCACAGTAGTGCTTTCACAGCTAGCTGCCTCTGTGGTTTATTGTTCCCCTCTGATCCACAGCCCATTCCTACTTTTTCCCCTTGCTTCTCCAACAGCAAAGAAAGCAAACCCTGAGCTGTGGCTGCCAAGGCTTTGTGGGCAAGTCAAAGCAGGAAGAGGGGACAGGAAGCAGCAGTAAAATAAACATTTCCTTGCATTTTGCTGAAGTGCTGCACCCTGGTTATATATTGATGCATGTGCCACTCTTCCTCTCATTATAGAGCAGGGCTGAGTGCTAGTGCTTTCTTACCTGATGAGGGCTTGGGGTACATCCTGTGGAAAAACAAGAGGAAAGCATAGAAGGTAAAGGCCAAGCCTCCAAAGATCATCCCACAGACCAGGAAACTGTAGCTGCCCTGATCATGTATAATCTGCAATAGGAAGGGGGGAAAAAAAGGGAGCAGACATGTCATCATGACTAGACATCATCTCAAATACCTAATTAGCATTCAGTAAGAGCTTTACTCTTTGATAGCTCCAGGGTAACACAGTGCTTTTCCCATCAGCTGTCCAAAACCAGGACTAAGGTTTCCACTTAAAAGCTCCAGTCAGTTTTTGGCACTCCTTGTCTACACTTACCGATCCCACCAGTAACTGTAGTACCATCTCTCCGATTCCAGCTCCGGTCACTAACACAGTTGTGGCACAGCCTGCAAAGAAATAGTGCAAGTGATGGTGGCAGGGAGCACGTGAGACAGCCAGCAGGATGAGCCTGTAGCTTCTTTAAACTGCTCTTTCATGGATCTGTCCATGCCAGATCTAGAAATACTCATGTATGTTCCCATCCTGTGTTGGGAATGCCTCTTCTAACCTGCAGTAGTACAGAGAGGTAAAAGTTTAAGCCAGAAGCCCAGCTCCTGTTCTGTCACTTGGCTCTGCTGGCAGAGGTGATGTTGCTTCTGGCTAGAAAGGTTTTCATTCTTCTGTATCACTGCCCCAGAGACAGAGGGTGGCAGAGGTCTCCTGTAGGCACTGGCCAAACTCAAGGATGTTCAGTTCACTGAAAAGCTGGATGATGTTCTCAAACCTAGCTCCCTGTAAGCCTCTAAAGCAGACATTCCTGTCAGTCCCTGAACCCATCTGGCTCCCAGCCTGTAGCTGGTATTAGGACACTGAAGCCAGCAGTTGTGCAGGCTGGTTTTCTGCCTACAAGCTCAAATAAACATTACGTTCAGAAGTAGATCTCTCTTCCAGGCATCCATCCCTGAAGAGGAAAGGACTTGCCAGGTGTGATGGCATCTGAGCTCTGGTCCCAAACACCCACCTGCTTTCAAAGTCTGCCAGGCGTGCCCGAATCCCTGCTCACCTTTGTACTGCAGGATGTCCTCGGTGTAGGCCAGCATGCTGGGGAAGGTGCTGCTGAGGAACAGCCCCAGAGATGCTGTCCCCACAAACAAGAAGACAACGCTGTAGGAGAAAATCAGGAGCAGGAGGAAGGTTATCAGGACGCCAACCTGCAAACAACACACAGAGTCACTAGGAAGGTAGATGCAGAGTTGCAACAGACTCTAGATATTTTATCTTCTGGTTTTGGGTAGAAAATAGTTTGGAAAAGAAAAACTATACTGAAAAGTGATCACAGTCTCTGAAAAACTGAAGTAACTAGCCAAATAAAACCCCACCTATCTTTACAGTAAAGAATTTGTTACTTTTTATAACAGGACTTAAAGCGACTACATACAATTCATCTGTCACCTCCATTAGGTAGAGACAAGATTGATTCTCTGCAGCTTTAAACACTGCTACTTCTGTAGTATTTGCATGTCTCAATCACTAATAAGTCTTATTCAGCACATTAAAGAATTAATTCACTCTCCATAACTGCTCAGAAACCCATCACAGTGGTAAAGGCAAGGAACCAACTAAACTTAAACCAGCCTGCCCTCACCTCAGGCTTGTTGTAGTGTACGAGTAATAGCAAAGCCATCTGAGATGCACAAAGTTAGCCTTGGCATGGAATCAGCAGAGGGAGCTCTGCAACACCAACTGAATTATTTTTTTATTGTTTAGGCCCCGATTATGTGCATGTGCCCCAGAGCAATTTGGAATCTAAAGGAATTGAGTTCAAACTGCAGTTTGCTATAATGCCAAAGTGGCTTGCAAGAGCTGGTGTATCTTACTACATATAGCAGTACCAGCAAGCAAGTATTGTGCAAAGGGCTCAGTGTTAGTCAAGGGAATTTTTGCCCTTGGAGGATACTACTACTGCTGCCTTTAAGGGGAAGCGAGGAGGCTTCCAGTTGAGCCCGGAGGTTATTCCCTCTTCTCACCAAATACTAGCAGCAGCTAGAGTCATCCTGTCCTCAGGTTTGCTAACAGAACCATTGCAGGGTTCAGACAAGCGAGTAAGTCAGTAGTATGCATCAAGGAGATGTATGGGACTGTTTGTATCGGATACCTGAGATGGATCTGCTGATGCTGAGCTTTCCCTGCTCCCCTGTAAATAGTGACTATGTGCTAAAGTAGGTCATTACACTCATTTTTAAAATAATCGCATTTCATTTAGCTGTAAGCTATTGGTATCCAAGTTCAGTTTTAAAAGTCTGTTTAAATGACTGTTTTGTCTGCAAAAGACATCAGCCTAAATCTTCAAAGTGTCCCAATGTGAACTGCCACTCCTATTTTCTCACCACCGTCTTATATATTCTTGGCCCTGCAATATTAACTGTGAAACTTGCTACCAAAATAACATCTGGTTAAAATAAATTGTAAATTAACTGCCTTCTCACTTGTTTCTTCTCTTTTTTTGTACAAAGTGTGAAGAGGAACAACTCCCTCCCTGTTTTCTGTCACATCCTTACATGCATCTTTCTTATATATCCTTAAAGGACTCCTTCCTCTTTCTTCAAGTGGATGGGTTTATTAATTTCAGCAACCTCCCATCACGTTGGTTCCTTTGACAGCTGCTACAGTCTGAGCAGAGACTTTACTGAACTATTTGCCTTCCCTTCCCCATGGCTAACAGGGGCATTGGATTCCCTGTAAACGCCAGAGAAGACAGCGTGCAAAGTAAATAAAGTTGGCAGACACTTCCCTAGGTTCTTTCACAAATCTAAAGTTAGATTAACTGAGGAGCAAGCTCGGAAAAGCAATGCAATCAAGTTGTAAGTCTTCGCTTCCTCGTGCATCGGAGTCAGCTGCAAACAGGCAGAGAAAAGCCTGGTGCAAGTCTACCAGTTCTGAACGTCAAAACCAAAACTAGACAACAGCTTGGAGGTAAGCAGAAGGAAAACATAGCAAAGCCAGCCTTACCACGTTGATGAAGACCATAGTTGCCGGCTTCATGCGGTAGGACACAGGGATGGAGATGAGCCTGCCCAGGGTGATGAATCCCCAGAAGAGGCTGGGGAGGACTGGGCGTGTAGCCGGCCACTTTATGTACTACGGAGAGAGGCTCTTCCACTGCGTAGCTGTAAATGAAGCCCGAGTACTCTCCCTGTGGGGAAAACAAACAGCGCGTCATGTTGCCGCGATGATTTACAGGCTTTGCATCTTTAAATTCAACCTGTCCCTCAAATATTCACAATATTGTGATAGTGCTGGAGAGCCCACCTACGGATTTGCTACCAAACCTCAGTAAGCCTTGTTCCCAAGGGTTTGCAGCTGGAGACAGGCTTCCACCAGAAGTAGAACACAGGACTCAAGCTCTCCTAAAAGGGCAAGGCTTAGCAGCATTGCTAGGTAAAATGCACACTAGGCTCTTATCTGCAGCGATGCTCTCTTACCTAGGGACTGTCTTGTCCTTTTGGAATTGCATATTTGTATACCATATCACATTAAGAACCCAGAGCTGATCATCCTTGAAGATGGAGGCCCTGGAAAGTTCCCGTGTCTGACAGCTGCTTTGTGTAACCCCCGCTTGCCTTTCAGGACCCTGTCTTACACCCTAGGAAGACCCAGCAGTATTTTACCATGAGGGGATCGAGACAAAACTGTTGAAAGAAAAAGAACAGCAACTCGCCAGCCAAGACCGAGCCTTCCTCGCCCGGACAGAAGCGCTACACATGGCGAGCCCCGTGTGACTGCGCCGGCCAGGGACATGCTGCCAGGCACCTACAGAGAGACTGCGCCATCCCACATGCTCTTGTCTTGGATTTTGTGAGCTCAGGAGACCCGTCATCAAAAGAAGCGGTGACTCTTTGTAAATAAAACGAAGCTGTTCTTGCCTCTTGGCTGAAGTAAGAGACCTCCGCTGCATACAAGTAGACACCATCACAACTCCAGCTCTAAACTGGCTAGGTCAGTGGCAATCTAGCTGCAACACAGTCTAGGAGAAGCTACAAAACCCTCCCAAGAAGTGGGGCATGTATCAGCCTGACTAGGATTGAACGAGCTACCTTGGGAACCGGGCTGCTGCATCTGCAGACCCTCTGGTCCAGCCCATTGCACGCAGAGGACATGTGCTGGGTTTGGGCTGTTATAAGTGATTTGGAAGGAAGAAAGCCATATAGCTTTGCTCAGACAAGATCCCTCCATCAGCTGAACTCACCACAATCCCATCAGTCATGAAGAGAACAAGAGCCCCAGTGATGTGGACTGCGAAGTAGGTGTAAGAAGCCCCTCTGAAGTTTTTGCTTTGGCAGCAGCTAAATAAGTCATCATGACCTGGTGAAAAACAATGCAAAGCAAACTTAGCTGGAACGTCCCCCTGGGGCTGGGTGGTTGCCAGCCCACAATGGGGATTTGTTTTGCACTCAGCTGCGAGACAGAGATTCATAGAGGATGGTGAACAATGTGGAGCACTGCTAACCTCTGCTGGCACAACCTCTTTCTTTACCTACCTATAAGCTTTCAGAAAACAAATATGCTTATGGGCTGCTGTCCACAGACTGGGCTCCTAGCTCTCCGGGATACTTGCTACTTCTCTTACTGTAGCTGCTTGTGCTCCTCTTCCCATTTAGGAACAACGCATTGCTGGCCCCACTAGTGCAGTCAATAGACACAAGCCCAGTCGACCCTAGCACTCGTGCTCAGAGCCCTCATCCTTGGTACCACCACACAGGAGAGTCCTGCCCAGGGTAGCTCACATTCCTCAGATAAATGGTATTCAATCAAAACAAGCCAACTTCGGAAAAGAGGGTGATAGACTCACAGCTAGCATTGCTTCCTCTGAATAGCCCACTGGGAGCCGCAGCCCACCAAAGCTGGGGGCCAGGACCCCAGGAATTCCCGACTGTCCCATCCTCACGCTTATATCACCCCACTCTGGGGTGTGCAAGGGGCTGGTGTAAAGGTAACGGCACCTGGAGTCCTGTGCAGATGAGAGTTTCTCCTGCACAGCAAAGATGAAATTCTCACTACTTCTATGGGGAAGGAGGGATTTTGGCAGCACAGAGGTGTCCGTCAAAGATGGCAGCAGTCAGCATACAGTCCTCCTGCTTCTCTAAGGACTAATCTCAACTGCATTTAAGAGGAAGATAGAGAGCTGAAGGACATGAAGCTCCAATGGGTTGTATGAAAACAGGCAGCTGGGTTGAGGAAAGAAGCCATCAGTGTCTCAGCTGAGGGAAATGTTATCAGATGAGCACAACCTTATCAGATACCAGAGAACCCACACCATTAGGGACACCTACGATGCTTCCCTGCAGCACCTCACCACTTCTAACTGCCTCCGCCTTCCAAGCATTCCCTAAAATTTCCTTTTGTTGTTCAGGTAAATCCACCTCTTCTGTAATAACATTAAATGCTCCTCCAATAACCCTAAAATATGATTACTTCCGAGATTCACTATTTAGCTGAAGAATTTACTTTGATACGTTTCTCTTGGGTAGCAAAGAACAATGTTATTATTGTCCCCAAAACAGGGTGTAGTCACAAGTTCAAGAGCAAACTATTGCTGGAGTTTAACTTTTCCCCTCAAACAAAGGCGCTGTCCTTATTCCTTGCAGATTTATAGAAATCAGCGTTCTGCAGCACGATGACCACTTTTAAACTGAACAGTCAGAGCCAGCTCAAAACCTGACTGACACCCAGAAGGAAACGAAGGGCCACAACTTTCACGCATGCTTCAAACAACTTGGGAGGCCAGGTTTAATTTCAGGGCAGCTTGGAGAAAAGCAGCCTGGGGTCCCACCAGCAGGATACTAGTCAGTTGTGGTCCCATCCAATCCAGGGGAAACTGGGCACCAAATTGTCTGGTTGGATGGTTTGGGTATTTCTGGATTACATTCACGTGTACCTTTTGGAAAGTCTCCTCCTTAGACAGCAGTGATGATCTCAGTTGTTAAACTCAATGGAGACACTCAGAAATACAGCTTTTTCTCCCCCTGCTCACTCCCTGTTCCTCCAAACCCATAAGAGAGGTGTCTCCAGCTCACCTCCTGCTGCGCGGGGTCTCTGCACGGTGGCGGAGAGATCCTCCTTCTCTGCGGGACGCGTCTCCATCGCCAGCTCGTCGGCAGACAGCAGCGGGTGGCTGCTGAAGCACGGCCCCATCCGCTCCTTGTAGAGCAAGAAAAACACCGCGATGGGGACCGGCAGCTGGGGAGGAAGAGAGGGGCAGGTAAGCATGACAAGTCACAAAATACAGTCCGGTTCCCCAGGCACGAGGGCCTTTTAGGAAGCCGTATTCAGTATCTGCAATGGATGTGCCTGAATTAACCTCCAAGAGCAGCCTCGCGCTGCCCTGACCTCAGAGCAAGGAGAGGGGCTGGCGATGGGGTAGGAGCCACTGCAGGAGGGATGGAGGCTTGTTAGGAGAGCTGGTAGGGAGGGGAGGAAAAAAAACCACCAGAAAACTGAGTTGAGAGCAAAGACTCCCAATCCAGAGCATGGCTGGGGCATCTCCTGCCAGTCCCTGTGGGCTGGGGACCATTTACCTAGGACAGGGAACAGGGACACTGGAACAGAAGGCACCTAAATACAAACCTCACGAAGCACGGTAGCAGCCCTTCAAAACCAGACGTTCTGGTTTCCAAGCATTTGGCCAATTCTGCCCAACAAATACTAATAAAAAGTAGCTTTTGCCTACGGAGAGCAGAACAGTTTTAATGGGAGACCTTCCATGGCTGAAATTCTTTGTGAGGGAAGAGCAAGCTGGTCTAAGACCTCTTTGCCCATCTCCAGCCATTAGCAGAGGTTGCTCAGCATCTCATAAGAGATGAGCTCATGGTTCCCAGGCCAGCGATCACAGCACCGCTACAGCCACGCTGCTTCAAACAGCCCTCAGCAGAGGCTGAAGAGCGAGAAGCTGCCAGCCATTGCCCTCTCAGCTGTCGCTGCCTTAGAGCCCTCCGCACACCCAGGGATGCTCCCAGCACCCAACATTCCCACCAGCACCATTCCCTGCAGTCAGGGCTTTCCACCTGGTGCCAATGCACCCAGAGACCACAGGCTGGTACCTGCCCATCAGCTCCATCACGCAGCAGCCGCAGCATCCGCCC